AAAAAAAAAAAAAAAGTTATATGAATTTTAACTGCATAAATTTGAATGTGTTATATTTTTGGTGTTGAATTTCTCATGAATAGCTATCTTCTCAAAAATAGAAAATTGATTTCTTGATTTCAATCATGATGTTACGATTTCAAGTTGACTTCATAATGTGATTTCAGTTTGTGGTGGTAATTTGAAAGCTGAACAAACTGTTGGTTTTATTTACTCCCATGCTCGTTATAGTGATGGCAAATACGAGAAAAAAATGAGGTAAACTGATAGAATTGCAAATTTATAATGTAAATGACCCATATATCATTTCTGTAGTATGAAAAAAAAAGAGAATTTCCAAAATAACCTAAAATGGTCGTAGTATTTCAATTTTATCAGATGATAAGCGACACGATTGATAGCTTACAAGCAATTAAATACGTGGAAATGAAATGATATATATTTCAGATGTGAATGGCGAATCTTAGCAGAACCAAATCACGGTGTAAACATTCGTTTTGCGCAATTTGATTTAGAACGTGAGGCAAATTGTGAGTTTGATTATGTCGAGATTTATGATGGTGATGAGATTTTGGAGGAACATCGTGTGGCTCGATATTGTGGTGATAAGGTAAGTCATTTCATGGTCTTACAATAAAATATACGAGACATCGGAATTATCCAAATATCCTCTACTAATGCATTTCTTGATGATTGCTTGCACCATAAAATTCAATCTCATAAATACCAGCCAATATTTATTGTAAATTCATCTTTGATAGATATATTGAAACATATGACGGTGCATTATCGGGGGTTTTGCTTTGAAATTCCGAAAATATATGTCCCGTCATATATTTATTATTAATACTGCTTTCATTCAATGCTATGATAAATTTCAAATTAAATATTTCAATAAAAAGGTAAAAATTTTTCAAGTTACCACCATCTTTCACATCAACTGGAAGAAATTTGCTACTACTTCTGATTACGGATGAATCCGAAGAACAGAAAGGCTTCATTGCGGAATATCAATCAACTATACCAGGCACAATTGCTCCATTCACTTCAACAACACGTCGACCTCCACGTGAACCTATTATCAATAATGATTAAATGCTTTTTACAATGATATTGTCAAATTTATTTGAGAAATTTTCTTACTTAGCTAATGCATTATGGTATTTTTTTCTCTAATATTTCCATACATATCATTTAGCTATATTACCTCATACTGGTCTTACTGTTAAATCTTTTTTTTTTTTCAATATGTTTTCTAGAATGTGTGCTCATTTGGCATTGGAAAAGGAAGTCTGTTAATGATAACTTAAATGAAATTGTACTTATTAACATATTTACTACACTAAATCATTCCAATATTTTCTGTTATTACTTCATTTCCAATAAATTAATGACATTCAAGAACGGTAAAAGATGGTGAAAATTTCTTTAATGATTCTAATCACATATCAAATAAAGACCAATAAATTCGTAAGTGATAATTTTAAACGAAAGGATTTACAGTACAAATAAGATTGATATAAATTATGAGAATTATGTTGCTTTTTTGTACAGCAAATAGATGCTACAGATCATTGAAAAAAAAGAGATGAAAAAAGAGATAGAAAAAAGAGAGATAGAAAAAGATAGAAATGGAAAAGATAGAAATTTGCACAACTTATTCGAAAAAAAATAACGAAATAAGACTAGGAGTTAATTAAAAGTATTTTCTTTACTCATTACTAATTATGATTATCCTTAACAATTGTCAGAATAGTATCATACAATACTCATTAATCATTTAGAATCATATGTAATATTATTTCGTCCGGTACAGAGTAAAAATATGGATCAGAAAAAGTAATTTATGAGCATCCGTTTCCGCTTCAATAGCTTCTGCAAAACAAACAAACAGGGCAAATGTACAGTAGTGAAATACAAGTTTTCATTATAGTTGCATTTGCGCGAAATCAGCTTGTAAGTTGGAGATTAATTTGTCGGAGTGATCTTTTGCCCAGAAGGGGTTTGGGTTCTATTTGTTGTTTGATTGTTATGTTGAGAATTACCATTATAAGCATATAAGTTATTATTGAGAGATGAAACATGTAAATAAGTTACAAAAGCTACTTATAATCATCAAGTAATTGCAGATTTAATAACATTTGTATAACAAAGTGATGATGTCTACTATTAATAGTGATGAACTGAAAAAGGGAACAATCGGTAATACGATCGCATCAATATCGGAAGAGGAATTCTGTCGTCTTCAGGAACAGCTTCTGGAATTACGTAATCGTAACTACGAATTACTGGAAGAGAATAGACGTCAACAAAATTACATCAATAGTTTACCCTCGAAAGGCACGGAAGCATTGCTATTTGCTTCCAAGGTGTGAATTATGAATCTCTTAGTTGGTTGAACAATTTTCGTCTAAAAATATGATTAGTAATTTTGTTAGGGTTATTTCAAAATATTAAGAGCTTAGAAATTTTGTTAAGGAATTTATTTGAAAACAGTTGAAGAAATTATGATTATTAGGAGTTGGAAAGTTTTATGGAGAGTTCATTTATAAATGCCCATGAAGGCCGCGGTGGTCCTAATGATATCTGATTAGTAACTGTTCTTTGGGTTTCATATCTTCCATATTTGGCCAGAGGAATAACTGTGTCAAATGTGACTAAAGAATAACATTGTCTTAATATACTATATGGCGTGAAATCCATGTTCTTTGGATTTCATGTCTTCTGTATTTGGCCAGAGGAATAAACCGTGCCAAATGTGACATATTAAAGGATAACATTATCTTAATATAATATATAAAACTGCGTAGGACTAATAGTCATGATATCTGTATCAGAACAGATTATGATTAATTAGCCGAGATTGAGATGAATTTTGCTTAAGCTTGTTGGTCGAAAGAAGGACAAGGATAATTCAAATGAAAAGCTAGAAAATGAAGTTCGTCTTCTACAGCATAAATTATCATCGCAAGAAGAGGAATTTCGGTTGCAACAATCAACGCTTCTTTCAGAACTAAATAAGGTTAATTAATTTGCATTGTGGATCACTTGTCAAACTATTTAGTTTTTGACAAGCAAGTATTAACTGCGATGCGAGCCGGCAATTTTTTCCGTTAAATAGATTAAGCTTACATGAATAAATAACAGTTGTTCAGTCTGGACTATAAATGATATTTTGGATTGGTCATATTAGTTGGGTCTTTTTTTTACAATTTCAATTTACTCTACCGTTACCATGATTGTTATTTTGATATATCGTTACTCTGATGTTAAGCAACGTAATGGAAAAAGTTAATTCAGTTTATTAGCTATAAAGCGTCGCTTTTTCACTGCCCGTCAGATGTTTTGGAATCCACTGCTCGATTGTTGACCTGAAATCTAAGAGTCAATGGGATATTTTTTTTCGAACAAAATTAAAGTAAGAATCAAAGGAGAGGAGACAGATGGATTGGAGGGACTATCAACACCAGTGGCATCTCATGGATACATTATTCTGCACCCTTCATCGGACGTTCCAAGTCGGATTGTGGAGTCTCACTACATGAGTCCTAACCACAAAATAGGTCGAAGGGTTAGTGTGACACCGTTCTCTAGCTGCTACCTTTTTAGTTAATACCAGTTTTTATTTTCGTTCCCTTTTTTGAGTGTTTATTATTTTTTTAAGAACAAGTTTTATGTAACTGATGTGGATTAGTTCAATTCTGCATAACTACCATTATGAACTTAATTTAAAATCCTAAGCACTTTTTACTAAATATAAAATGGGTTAATTTGCAAAAAAGCCTGAATTAATCTCATATAAAATTTTAAAGTGATTATTGACGATTGGATTGATTAAATACTAGAGTTTATGCTGATTCCTCTCTACTACCCGTTACAATACCCTACACCTAATTACTAAATGTCTGTGGCAAAACTTTGTTTTAGGTTGTGAAACAGTGTGAGATTCTGGAAGTGAAAGCGAAAGAACAGGGAGAAAATGGTAGCACTAATGAATTGGCAGGTATCTATTTTGTGGAAAGTGTCTCACACTGTCTATAGATGTGAAGAAGTTTAGTGTATTTAAATTGTATGATTTCATTATATTTACTTATTTGTTGTGTTATGCATTTAATACACTCGTTTTTTATTTGTTTTTTTAGTAATTCGTTTTTAGAGCAAAACAAAAGTGATATGTCGAGGTTAATGACGAAGAATTCAGATTTGGAAGTGGAAGTTTCGTCACTCAGAGGTCCGTTTTCTATTGTCTATTATTGATTCTTTTGTGAAGTTTTAATAAATCAGATAATATGTTGAATCGATGATCATTCAATTTATATATCAAAGAAAGTATTTTATTTTCAGAAATGCTTAAGGAAAAAGACTTATTGGTAACTCAGATGAAAGCTTCTAATGAAGAATTAATCTCGTCGAAGAAAATGTTAATCCAAGGGCTCGACGTGGAGCGAGTAAGGTAACGAAATCAAATGTCCATAATTTGATTGATAAGATAACACTAAATCACTATTTACAAATATCAGCTTATTACAGGTCAGCAAATTTACAACGTGAATTACAAGAAACTATACAACTGTGCACAGCTGTTAAACAACTCCTTAAAGAAAAAGAAGAAATCGTAGCATCGCAGAACATTGATGAAGGGCTGATGGAAAAAGTCATTACTTCTGATAGGCAGTCGCAAACTGATGATCTCCAGGTACATGGTTACTGCTGATTTTGTATAGTATTTATAGAGAAAACAATTTTATGGTGAAATCTTATTGAAATATTTTGGCGAAAATTGCAGTAGTGAATATGATATAACTGAGTTTGTGACAAGAATTTCTGGAAATTCAAAACATGATCGCTTGTAATGATAAATACAGGAATATATACGAAGTTTGGAAATGGAATGTAAAAGATTGGGAGGGATCGAGAAAATCACTTCCGAGAAAGATGCGTTATTGAAAGAAGGACAGAGATTACAGAACATTCTTGAAACGGAATTGCAGATTGCAAGAGCTGAGGCCTTAGCTGAAAAAGTTTGTTCTCATGAATTCATATTGTAAGAGCAGGTATACCTGTTTGTACTGTTTGATATCACTGGTTATAAATCAAATTCCATCTATAAGATCTATGAGAAAGTACGTACTGCCATTTTTCATACCACCTTTTAATCTACTTCGATGGGGATCTTAATTTCACTCCTTTATTGGAATTGTTAGTACTTCAGTTAAGTAAATATGAATCGACAAGTTTTTAGGAGAAAAAGATAGCGGAAGAAGCGGTTTGGGGAGAAATGAAGCAGGGATTTGACATTGAAATTCGAGCGTTAAACATGCATATACTGGAATTGCAACGTTCTAAACAAGAAGTATAGTTTTCCTGTAAATTGAACGAATTTTACAACTTTTGGGATATTTTCCAGTTCTCTAATAAATGCTATTAAAAAATCTAGGTGTAATTTAAATTATTTTGAGTTTGTTATGATCATTTCCAATTTTTAGGAACAGACTTCAGCCGTTCAGAATTTCGAGATGATTAAAGCGGCTTTAGAAGCAAAAATAAGGGAAAGTGAAGAGGAAATCAAGAGAAAAGATGAAGAAATCAAAGTAGCGCTCAAGAAACAGGTTTCTTCCCTTTTTTATCACTTCAGTAAGGTAGGTTTTTCGAGAACTTCGTGAACGGTCATTTTGCTGCTAAATGATGTGAACACTTCTATATTCACTCAGATTTTGTTATCCTACACCAAAATTCGAAATATATCAAGTTTGCATGGGACGATTATTTTGATTGATAACTGCATTTAACTTCAATTTTCTGCTTAGTCTTCAATGGTAAAGGAATTACGGCGTCAAGTTCAGTCGGAGAAAAAACGCGCTGAACAAGCGGAAAAGCACCTGGATGATGTCCTTGGCATGGGTGATGCTAATGTCTATACACATAGTGAGTTTTTTTTTGCGACATGTCACAGTGATGAATGCAGATATGAATGCATCATTATTCAAAGGCTAGAATTGTATGTTTCAATGAATGGAATTAAGTTTATAAATTAATTCCCTAATGTTCAATTTATGTAGCAGATACCAAAATATTGTGTTCTGTCAAATATCATTTTAACTTACAGCGTCTCATAACTGCTACCATAGAATTGGCGAAAATTGTCTTAAGATTAGTAAAATGAAAGGTAAATTGCAGATAGCGCTCGAATACGAGTAGCCGGATCACCATCTACTCTTTCTGATCGTTTCAAAATAAAGGGTGACGGAGAATCCAGCATTTGTTCGTGGGCATTTGTGGCAGAACCGGACAGAAATTCTTTTCATGTATGCTTGTTTGAAATTTACTGTAATAAACTGTTGTCACTATGTGTCCAAGAGAAAAAGTTTTCTTTATCTGAGTGCTGTAATTATCACAATGTGCTAAAATATGGAATGAAATTTGAGCTACATTACTTATTCTCTTTACATTAATTGAATAGTGGTAGTTCTTGATGTCACTGAGATGTTTATTCATAATAGTCTTTTTATCCCAGAAAGTTTAAAAGATATCATGTCAGCTGTATTGTATTCACGGTATTTTCGTCTTTGTTTTTAATAATTTTGATCAGGCATGGTTTGCAGAATTTTGACGAAGAAAGTTCTTACTCAGCATCAATTTTAGAAGCTGATAATGCAGAATTAATTAGTCGTTTAGCCGTTTTGCAAAAGAAACATGCCGAGACCATTGATCGTGTAAGTGCTTCTTTATTTTTTGCAAATTTTATAAACCGTTTTTTTTTGAAGGGAGAGAAAAGAGGGAGATGATGGATAATATTGTGACACTGATTTTGGATTTGGTGGATTTTAATATCATATTATTTTTTAGTTAAATGTAATCGAAGAAGAGAATACTTTGTTGCGAAAAGAAGTAGATGAAAAGAGTGAAGTTATTGCGCAGTGGATTCGCACTTTACCCGATACTAATCATAGTCAGCAGGTGGTAAATTCATCACCTGGTATGATATTTTTAGATTGGTTTTTCTTTCCTCGCTGAAATTTCTGCAAGTTCATGCTTTTTAGCTTGTTCGTTTCTTTGCACATTTCATAATTGCTGGTGGTTTAAGGATTGCGGTTTCGTCGTATGCTTGAAATGGTTCGTATGGATGAATCAGCTGCTGATATACGTGATATGAATCGGCGATTGCAGCGTATGCTAGAAGAAACACTGTCAAAAAATCTAGTTTTGCAAAAGGTAGGTTTAGATTTTAATTTAATACTGCGATCTTATGCTAGAGCTCTTCTTTAACTGCAGTACTTTTTCATGAAATGAATTGAATAATAAAAATACTCTCCTAATATAGCTTTTTATGATAGTTTGAATTATATGTATTTGTGCCTTGATTCATTGCTCTGAAGTTCCGTGTTTTTGCAGAACATTCAGACATTATTGGAGAAAGACGGTAATTGACGAAACATATACAAGAAGGATGAACTTGTTCGTTCCGTAGAGGTAGAAAGTGAAAAGTTTTCTATAAACATGTGTAAATTGCCAGTGCTGATTAAAATCTCCTATGTGGCACATTGGGTTCACATCATGGCTCAAGCTGTTTTTCTTATAGAATCTTTTCGAGTTCGAAGATTCTATTTAAACTTATGGAATCTTTGAACTCGTATTTCTGAAAACATAAGGATGGTGGACAAATATTGAAATTCTTTATCAAGATTGTAAAAGAGTGAATGTTTTTTCTGCTTGATAATATAAATATATTGTAAATAGGTCTGATATAAATAATTTACTGCAGTTATTTGTCTTATGCTTATCTTTTTGCTTCATGAACTTTAAAGGATCCATGTCGTAGTGCAGGTTTTGCACAAAAATACAGTTACATATGGTAAAAATTAAAAAAAAAAAATTCAGATTGCTGCTAGCTTTCCTCCGTATTGCTGCTAGCTTTCCTCGGTACTGGAGATGTTTGTATTCGATATAATAGTGGTAAGACGTTTAGAACAATGAAATTGCCAATCTCTGAGAAAAGTTAAACTGACTGATGTTAAGTAAACGAGGTTGACAAGAAATATGTAAATATTATGCACTGCAACATACTGGTAAATAGTGCAGTTGTTGATATTATTTTATTCGAGGTCGTGTTCGCCTGATGGCAGTTTTGTTTTATTTATACAATATTTCAATTGTAAGGTCACAAAGTGATGGAATTTATTGTGTGAATAAATTTAGTGCAGTTCTGGACTTAGCTTTCTACATCTCGAAAATGTCACATTATTGGAACATTATTCTTATTTTAAGTATTTTATAACATGGAATATTCAATTCTCAAAATTAAAGTAGTATACATGGCTTCATGTTAACTAGCAGATTATTGTTATTAACAAGCTTTCTTATTTAAAGGATTTTAAAGTTCCAAATATGCACAGTAGATACGAACTACTGAAGTTGGGTTATTTTCTTGTATAAAAGTAGTGTTTCACAAATAAATTTGGAAAAAATGGAGGAATTAATGACTAAATAAAGAAATGATTGCTGGTATTCAAGATATACTTGGAATTATTTTGGGAATTAAGGAATGCTAATTGCAACTTTGAATTATTTCAAAAATTTGGAGAGAGCTCTGTAATTTTATAATTTCATATTATCTAGAATTGTGTCGTTGTTGGTAATAAAATGACGAGCTGGATGGATTAGTGAAGCTGGATTCTGAATCTGAATTGACATCAACTGTGCCTGGTGGCACAAATAAACCTGAAGCAAACGAGGAACTTGATGTTAACCTCGACAAGACCGCAGCAGTTTGTTTCTGTTGATTTTATAGGTACCTGAAGCTCGGTTCATGTTCAAGAAAGTGCGTATTTTTATTGCAATAAATAGTTTTTCAGGGGTTACGAACAGCTGATGACAAAGCATATGAGGAAAGCAGATGTGATGATGAAGCTTTGCTCGATGAATTGTCACGTCGTGAATTTACGGTACTATTTAAAACGTTTCAACTTTTAATCATTTTTTAATCATCTAGAATACAACTTATTCATTGATTTTTTTTAGTATCGATGCATTTCTGTATTCTTAAGGTATTTATATTGTCGGAAGTCGGCAAACCAATTTTTGCATCATGTGGGCATGAAGAACAGTTGTGCTCACTTATTGCACTCATTCAAACATTTGTTATGGTTGTTACTTCATGGAATGACAGTCTTAAACGAATTCGTTCGGGTCATATGCAAATTTCATTCTCCTATCGAACTCCACTTATTTTATGTATTGTTTCACGTGACGGGTTTCAACTGGATGCTCAGGTGGATCTTGTTTACAAACAGGTAACTTTCCTTTCCGTCAATTTAAGCACTTGAAGGAGTGTTCTTAGAATACTTTATGTTATGATTTTGTTTTCATTTAAAAATTGAAGTCTTATAATATTTAATTGTTAAACTTTACCTGTTTTATAAAAGTGACAAAAAAGTGAATATGACCTTGAGAAAGCATGGTCATTTACTTCTTTCTACTATGTAAATGCATAATTGAGGTATTTTGGTTAAGCTACGAGATTTCGCTCTTTTTTTTCAGATGCTTTCAATAATTTGTCGTGCTCAGTTGGTTTCGATTTTTGAAACTAAAGGGCCTAATTTTGATTTACGATTAATGCTCAAAGGTATTTGTTTTCGTACGCCATTTATGAGCTTTTCTGAATGTATGAAAATAGTTTTTCTCTCATATGGTTTTAGAAAATCGCTTATATCGTACATACTGGAAATGATGCCATGCATTAGATGTGAATCAAATTAATTGAATGTTAGATAAAAATAACTGCTTTGTCTCACTATTCGATTTTGTACTTTTCATTAATGTCTAGCATTTCTTTTTCTGTTATGTCAGTGGAAAATATCTTTTCAGGTACAGATCGACATTTAAATGCTATAGTGTGCGGTTACAGGAATGACATAGCAATCTTCATGCGTTCAATTCGGATATTTCCTATGGCTTTTGCAGATCGCGAACAATTCACAAATGCAATTGTATCAGCAGTCAATAGTGCAAAGTTAAGTTTGTTGAGATTTGACCTCCATTTTTCTGCATATTCAAAAATCCGTCCTAGTTTTATATTTGATTTATTGCTGTTATGTCTTATAGCTTATTGCTCACTACTCTTGCTTTGTTTTCAGCAGCATTGTTTTAGGTTGAAAATGTTGTATACGGGTTGGTTTTAGCTAATCGACAGCTTATCACGGTAGTTCGAATGAAGGGTATTGCATTAAATCCATGCGATTTGCATCTCCTTATCAATCTTATTGATTGTAACCCGTCACTAAAGAATGCCGATAATTGGATACCTATATGCTTGCCGCATTTTAACGACACGTACTTTTTTTTCTCTTGGAACATAATTTATTCCAAGTTTTTCTTATCTGTCATCCTGAAAGCGAACAATCATCTGTGCAGAGCTGTTGCATTTCCATACATTTTTAAACATTTTCAAACATCTAACATCACTGAAGTAAAGGTGAAGTCTCACTCTCGTACTGCATGAAAGGAAATTAAAATGAATTTTGAAAATATATTTGTGTCTGTATGGTATTAGGATTCTGTAGTATATACCGGAATACTTTTCTGATCATTCATTTTTTATTAATTAACTGATATAGGAGCTAGATTTATTTACAGATTAACATTTCTGACTTTGTCCAGGCTTGGAATTATGCTGGAAAGCAGTTGTGATGTTCTTATTTAAAACCATACCTATCTCTCTTACTGAAACTTCTTTGTGATTTCATATTTGTAAATAATTCAGGGGATTCCTTTATGCGTATGTTTCTTTTATCTGGGAAGGCAGTAATGCGTGCTTGCTACTATTATCTCTGGAACGTGGTGCATTTGAGACACTTCGTGGTGTGAAAGAAACAATTATTACCAAGTTACGTTCATCGAAATCACGTGTTTCATTAAAGAATGCCGTGGAGAATCCTTCTTCTTTTGATATTCAAATGGTATATTATTCCTATTATATATGCGATAAATTCAACACGAAATGAGTTTCATTGATAGCCCGATATACGTCAAACATCTTCAAAATTGTCCAGACATGTAATTGCAATAATTTCCATGACTTATCTAGATACTTAGCACGATTGCATATATAGCTTCTGAACGAGACCAATTTATGGGTGGATAAGACTCTATCCTGCCTAACATATAGAAAAATATTCTTTCCTTAAATGTTGCGAACAGTTCTGATTTCCTTAGTAAAATTTTTTCCCTGATAAGCTAACACCGCTAGCAAAAAGGTTAGCATTACACCTCCAGTTTCAAAATTCGAAATAATGATGAACATTTGAACTTCTTCCAAGAAATGCAAGATATATTTACAGGATGTTCCTTCGGATTTATGGCATTTCACTTACAAGAATCGATGCTCAAGCCAAATATGTTGTTCACAACACTCATTGCCATTCATTGATAAAGATGAACGCTGGAAGCTGCAAGAATATTATAAAAAAATGTTTGCTTATTCGATGCGAACACCGAATCTGAGGCATATGTTTATTACGAGGCCGGAATGTTGTTTGCTGTCGAATGTAAGCCTATATTTTCATTTTTTCAATATAATTCTGGCACATTTGAATCGCGTTAAATTTAATGCTGAACACGGTCAAATGTCATAATGATATAAAAATAAAAGATTTCAAATTTTATAACACATTATATCAAATAGAATTAGTATCGTAGCAGCATATTGGAATCAAGCATCAAGCAAGAAGGCAGAGATGGAGAAAACTTTGATAATATTACTAAGTCCAACTATGCCAAACACTGAAATTCATCCTTGTTCATGGCGCAGAATTGCGTATCGGAAATGGTTAAAAATTCTTTCGAAGAAAATTTAAGAAAATTTTTACTCATTTATTAATCGTGACTTATCAGTTAAATAAAGCTTTACAAGGAACAAAATCTAAGATGTGCAGTGCTTATCTCTACAACACTGAAAGCACCTTCCCTGGAAAGAGTCCATTTTAAATTTACTTTAAGTTAAGAAAGACGTTTAAATTATTGTTTGTTATGATGTAAAAAAAAATTCTTCAGGTTACCTCGAATTACGAATTACACTGCGTATTAAGCCCATTTGTGACGCGCACGTCAGCAAATGCACACGTTGATCGTCTTTTGAAAATGCTCAAAAAGGAAGAAGCGAAATTTTTTACTACTTCTTCTGTGTATTTCTAAACTTTATCAAATTAAAAATTGTGCATGATTTTCAAGTATTGATCAGCGATGTTTCACTCAGTTACTATTCGTTTCATTGATGAAAGATTTTGAAGAAAATGCAACGTACGTTTTCTCAGAAACATAGATTATGGAATTAACCAATAGATGAAATTCGTTATGAAGTAGCTTTGAAAATACTTAGAAGGATTCTGTATAGGAAGAATATTTTTCTTATATACTGCTATTTTATTGAAAATGATTAATCAGACTTTGATCATGATAATAAACGTTTTTTTTTTTTTTTGTTTTTGAAGTTTTGTTACGAAGTGGTATGTTTCTGCTACTTTATAATGATTCTTCTTAAAGTGAATAACTGATGTCATTTTGCCAACAATAATTCTATCGTGGTATTCATTGTTGATGTTTTTGAAAAACTAAATTTTAGCAAAAATCAGGCATTCATATCATAACCAATGATTTAACAGCAAACTTTTAGATTCTAATCGATCTTTGTCTTTAATGTATAATCGCTGAATAGAGTTGCTCAAAAAATTTATCTTTTTTTCTGCTTCATATAATCTTTTTAATTGAGTTTCAATTGAATTTTCTATTCTCTGTTACATGTAACTAAGTTATGATAAGTGTTTCGATTTCTTTTACCGAGAAGTGAAAAAATAACGAATTTGGTCTAGAAAAAAAGTTTTTTATTTTATAAATTCTGATATCTTTTATGAAAGTGTGATTAACATGCCAGATTTGATAAAAATTTATTACTTTTGCTTAAAACTAATTCAATCACTTGGTGTAAATAGTTCACGACTACTTTTATTGTATCTTTATATTATAAACATGGTTTGCTACAGGTGTTAAATTCATTTTACTCTTTCATTTGAGAAATTTGTTCGACAAATACGGCCTATATAGGCTCTATTTATCTATGTTTGGATTTATTAGTAAGGTGATTAATGTACATTAGTGATACCTTAATTCTGGGCTTATTTTGCAGAAATTTCCATTTGAAATGCAAACTGGTGTGGGAAGCGCATTGCGTTGCGTTCACCTATCACCTCACTTTTTGTCCATGTTGGCAAAGCGTTTTATGCCTGCTCGTGGAACAAAACCTCTACCGAGATATCTTTGGGATATGGAAGATCTAAAAAGGCAGACAAAAGAACAATACACACATGAGCCTTTAATTTTACATCGCCTTGGCGGACGTGACCCGAAAACAGGTTTGGCCTTGGCTTTTGTGTGTTCTCATTATCGTAATCACTTCCTTCGCAAGTGTTCTGTTCTTTCTGTGTTATCGTCAGTTTAGTCTACCATGCAAAATTCACCTGAAAATATTATAGATCAGTACATTAAATAATAAACTGATTTTGCTGTTGACAAATTCGAAAGAAATTGTTCTTTTTGGCAGGTCGAAAAGTCAATCAGCATATCGGTGGTGGCACTAAATTTGATTATTTTATGATCGATTTTCATCGACGTGGGCCAAAAGAGCCTGACACTACTTATGATGAGCGAGTAACGATTTTTTCAAGACATTCTTTATACTCTCGTTAGCTGTATGAAAAATTATCTAACTTGCATTTAATCTTTTTCGTTGTTAGTTCTTAATAAAAGCCTTAAGTACTGTTGTAGTAATAAAAAAAATTCCAACTTGTGGAAAGCCTATTGATATTCAGCACCGAAAATAGCTAATGTACACCATTAATGACTTAAATATAGTTATATATTATATTAAGATAGTGAAATTGATGCATATATCTTCTAGCATATTTAAGGTTATCGAAGTACGACGAGATCCGAATAGGACGTGTTTTATTGCACTCGTTGCTGGTTGGGAAGGTAAACGCTGGATATTAGCAACGGAAAATATGAAAGCCGGACAAATTATCAGTACAACGTGTTACATACCTGAAAGTCCTCAGGAAGGTTGGGAGATTTTTCTAAGATAAAATTCAGGTTTTTAACTCGATAAATTTGTAAAGCTATTGTAATTTCAATAATTTAATAGGAAAAGAAGGTAATGCATATCCTTTGGGAGCATTGGCACCTGGTTCACTAATTAATTCAGTGGAAAAATTCCCAAATGAACGGAAATATCCTTCAACGGATGATGACGTCTTTATTGTTACTGCTGGTACGTGCGCTGAGATTATCAGACATCAGGGTGATTTTGTTATTATCAGGGCAAGTTCTTTATATTTCTAATTTAAAAGTTCCAAATAATTTGGTGGTTGGAATGAAATAGAATTTTTAATTGGAAATTTACCCTCATTGTGAAGGACTACAGTTTAAAGAAATTTATTATAATTTGCATATAAGCAGTGAGCCTAATCTCACACTGTAGTGTACGAAGTTCTTTTGTAGTAGTGGAATAGAGGCATCTAGCAAGAGAATTAACAAATGCTGTTGTACGCCTACACATACTGAGTATGTCAAACCACTAAAAAAACTATGCCGCTTTTTTCAGCTGCCTCATAAACACGAATTTGTCCTGTCAAAGGAATGCATGGCTACAGTCGGCAGATTGTCACATGCAGAATTCCAAGACAAAATTTTCGGCTCGGCACAAATGCATCGACGCTTTGGCTACAAGATGGCTAGTGGCTTGTTCCAGAAAAAAGATGGTTATTTGGGTCGAAAAGTACGAAGATTACCGCCACCGAGGACGTAAATGACTTTTATCTGCCCTATTTATTTATGAAGATGCTTGAACAACCAATGGGAACTTCGGGGATGGACCTAAATTGGCAGTTGCAGGGTAGTAAAAATTGTTAACAGTACTTCGACTTCTCTCTGGTCACTCTTCAGTTCTAGCTCATTACCAAATAATTTCTATTTTAGATTGGAACCAGAAAAACCACCACCCGAACCGTTGTCATTTACCCTCACCAAGGAACAGCAAAGCGGGCTCACCGGTATATTTCGCATGCCACATATGGCTCATGCTGGCTTCAATTATCGTGAATATCCCGATTGACATTGTTGCCATGTAACAAAAAAGATTTCTTTTATTTCAACCGTACTTGCAGTACAAGCCTAATATTTGGCTCTATGAAATGCCAAACTCAATCTGGATTAAAAGATCTTTAATATAATTCAGAATGTGGCACTTAATTAATCCTCTTCCTTTTAATCTATAAGAGAAATGTCGAATATCGGTTAAATGTTCTTGTCCACACTCACACTACGAATCTCTCTTCATCATGTACCCTCTGTTTGTGGTAATGTTAGTAAACGAAACAAATTTTGTCGCGTAACGCCAATAGCTACGTTATCATAACAAACTTCAGCGCTAGCGACAATTACATTCATACGAAGACGAAATGATGAAGACAACAAACACACAATATATAGGATCCATCAATACAATCACAATAAGATTCGACTGAAATAAATCCGAAGATCATTAGTGACTTAGTGTTGCAGAACAGCACAATTGAATGAATTCAAATATATATAAACACAAAGTAATTCACAATCTTTTACGAATTAAATCATACAGAGAAATTCACAATCATTTACGAATTAAATTGAACCATATCGAAAATTTTTTTTTAAAATTGACTATTTCATGTCCCTAAATAACATATGTCCCCCGAAATATCTTGCAGCGTCCGACCATGAATCTCGAATAGATGCGACACTGCTTGGACATGTGAAAATGGATGCATTTAAGAACTCACCACCCATCACCATAACTCATCCGTGTTGGAGCATCAAACCGAGATCTCTTCGCGAAATCACCACCGCTACCACCATAACTTCGTTTGTAAGCTCCAACATATCTAAAATTATTGGAGTTATATATATTTTATTTGGACTTTGAGAATTAAAATGTGGGACTAAACTTTTAAATTAATAGAATTCGCAATTCCTAAATCCAAAGCTTAATCATGTAGTAGGATATCAGGCTTGCTAAAACTTATTTCCTTACAGATTATACGATCTTAAACTCACCTTCCACGCCCGCCACTGAAATTATCCTTTGCCATTTGATGTAATTCTGGAGGTACACTCTGATTCGCCTCCTCCAAAACTTTTATTAGATCTTTCGCTTTCGGAGCATTTGCATAAGTGAAGAATGTATATGCAATGCCCTGAAAAACAATATTAAGCTTCCAATCAAACAAATGAAGTGAACAAGATTGCTATACTTAAGAAACGTTAATAAAAGGCGTATTTCGAAAACCTTACAGCAGATGAATAGAAATCTTACAGTTTTATCACGTCGTCCTGTTCGCCCGATGCGATGCACATAATCTTCCGAATTATTTGAATAATCAAAGTTTATGACGTATTTTATATCATCAACATCTGAATTTAAATTAAAAAAATTCTTAAATCGAAGATTTCCACTTTTTATGCCTGTTCTGTAATTAGTCACTAAAAAAGCATTCGTTGAACGAGAGTATGTTATAGTGTTAAAAAACATGAGCGAAATTTAAATTAGCAATCTCCACTTTTCCTTCTTCCGTTAGGTGAAAAAATCTCTCCACAAAGTTATACAGATGGAGAGGTCGGATAGTCTATCGTGCATACTGAGATGTCTTAACTATAAATTTAGCTTTAACTTAGTAAATTAATTTACGGTTAAAACATCACAACACACATGTTCTGTCTGCTATGAGCTAGGTTGTAGAAGTAAGTGTCAATCATTAAATGGATTCTTCTCCATGAAATTAACGATGTTTTCGAAAACTTGAGTTTAAACAAATGCACATTAATCTGAAGCTGCAAATAATTCAATGAATGAATTAATTACCACTCAAAAACCAAATCTCCTTCCTTACACAAGTCGAAGGATAAAAACAGATTAATAATACACTTTTTAAACTATCCGACCCTCCATGTAATAGCCAGATGGACAACCAAAGTTGCGTATTACATTTGAAATATTTAGATATAAATGATCGTATGATCACTTATGTTTCGCAACAAATGATGCATCTATTTTATTTCTTAGCAAAATGCCGGACAGTGACAATAACTTGGAGAATCGATTGGTGAGAAATCTAACCTGGATTCTCAAGTGCGTCACTTTGTAATCAAGTTGAGGAAGCTGTGTCATGTGGCAGCTGAATCCATAACAAATAAATTCCTTGTCGATGAATTTGCGTGTGCAACAGGTGGTCCAGCCTCCAAATTCTGAGAGGCACAAACTGCAAAGGTACGATGCGGCCCAACTTTTCTTTTTTTACCGCGGACCACTTCCACCCTTCAGCTGATGACCATTCTGCACACGCAGCAACAATGACCCCTCTGTCTGCGCGTGAATCTGATGACATTCATCTCTTTTTTTTTCATTCTTTTCCAATTTTCTTTACAAAATTCAACTATTGCGATTTGAATAATAACAAACATGAATTATCTTAAGATCATGCATTACAGATATTATATTACTTGTCAGAAAAGAACTATGATTAAAAAATAATAAGTTTGAGATGTCATTTTACGCGCGCTAGAGCAGTCACTGGCCAGAGCCATAACACAAGCACAAAGCTTCCTCATCCCAGATCACCAGTATTTAAATTTCCAAAACAACACAATGTATTAAGACGAGTGAAAGAGTAAGTTTTCCTAGTTATGAAAAACCGTTCCACCTGACTTCTGCGAAAAGCTCAATGAAACGCGTGTAATCAGTGAATATTCTATTTCCATCAACTGAATGTTATTTCAAGCGAACATATGAAAATACTCTCGCCGAATGCTAGTCTCGCTATTATACTTGATGTAAACCTTCGCAGACATTTAACCCATCATATAATGCTTTCGAAGCTCCCCAAACAAAGCAACTTGCCTAATCCACGAGCAGCTACATCAGTTGCTAATAGAATTGGTGTTTTTCCACTTCGAAATTCTGAAAAATTCATCAAAAATTTTGAAACTAATATGAATAAAGAGAGATTAAGACAACTGACCTCAAAGATTACTCCCATTATACAAAATTTCTCAGAACAATCATCTTTCTCCCAGTTCCAAGCAAAAGAAAAATTTAAAAAAAAAAAAGTAAAATCTACCACTTAATGCCCAATCACGCTCCGATTGGCCTTTATCACCATGAATACACAAAGCCGGCCAACCGTCTCGTCGCATCCAGCGTGTCAAATCATCCGCTTTACGCTTTGTTTCCACAAAAATTATGGTTTTACAATCCTCCTAAAATTAAACGATGAATATGCAACACACAAGTGAATCCAAATTTCATATCCGAAAAATTTCTCATTTAAATTTTGTGACCCATAACTCATCTGATGAAAGCGATATTCGATTCTGGCGATTATCTCGCCATGCATTTCCGTCGTAGTTGTCCGTCAGTGTGCTCTTTGACTCCTTTAAAAACGACTAAGATCTTCCTCAACGATATTTAACCTTAGCGAAACAATGAAAAGTTACAAAATTCACGAATTATTGAACTTGATGGTCTTGCAACTACTGAACTCACGCGAACTTTACAACCGGTAGGTCTTACAATCTATTCCACATATTACAGGAATCTCACGTTACCGATTGATCCTCTATATCATACTCAAAGAACAGATAGACTTCGCAAGAAACCAAGCAAGCTAAAAAAACTAGTGGAAAAATAGAGACTTGCTAGAAACAGAGATTGGCATCTGCTTAATCTTTCTAAACTGCTGACTAGAAAAAGCTTTTCCAATAAAATAAATGTCTATATGAGTTTTTATAATACACATCAATACAAAGTATATCTGCAAAAGAACCATAAACTAATACCTTATTCATAATGTCACTAAGAATAGACATAAGACGCTGCTGCTTATTCGATTCATCAATAATTTCAACAATTTGCGTTATATTATGGTTTGCAGATAATTCCAGAGAACCGACATTCAGGTGTGCTGCGTCAGTCAAAAAATCCATTGCTAATTTTCTAACATCTTTTGGCCAAGTTGCCGAAAACATAAGCGTTTGTCGGTCAGGCTGAAATCATAAACTCCAGAATATTTCAGAGGATAACAGTGATGATTAAAATGTCGATAGAGCCGAATTAATGCTTACTCTGATCTGTGACACAACTTTCCTAATTTGCGGTTCAAATCCCATATCTAACATTCGATCCGCTTCATCGAGTACCAGATAAGTACATCGTCGAAGGTCAGTTTTACCTACTTCCAAAAAATCCATTAAACGGCCTGGTGTCGCAATTATGATATCAACACCTAAAATAGTTTCATAATTTTCATTTTAATAATTTTAATTAGGAATAAGAGTAACTGTTGCAAAATCTTGCTAACAATATCAAGGAAATTTGACCTCTTTCAAGATCGCGAGCTTGTGCAGCTTTCGGAGCACCACCAAACAAACATGTTATAGAGAGGTCTGTTGCCTTGCAGTAATCTTTTGCTACCTCTTCAACTTGTTGTGCCAATTCTCTAGTTGGTAAAAGCACTAATACTGATGGACTTTTTTGATGGCCTCGCGGTGGTTGTCCCGCTGTGTGAACAATTGCCGGGAGAATGAACTAAAAAAATTCATTAGTTCGAAAATGAACAGATTTTAGCATACTTTTACACCAAAGTACCTACTTATACATAGATAAATAGAGTGATAAATAAACATAGTTACAAATAAAAAATCATTTTGTGAAATATTTCGAATTCACAGATTGAAAATAAAGAATTACCGCGAAAGTTTTCCCAGAACCAGTCTTTGCTATTGAAACCATATCTCTACCACTCAATGCAATTGGCCATGATATTGATTGGATAACTGTTGGTTTTTGGAAATTTGCAAAAAGCATATCTGTGAGAACTTGCGGAAAACCTGCTTCCTTAAAATCAAAAACTGGACGAGGAAGATCATTCCCTTCAACAGTAACTTGATTATCCGTAAACCACTTGTCTATCTCGACCTGAAAAAAATGCATTCCAAGTGAATATTTAGAAACGAAATTTCAAGTTTTCAAATTATACTTACAATTTATTACACCCATAATTTATTACGAGTTAGATCTCT